AAAATAATTAAATGAACTATGAACAAGGAAAATACATTAAAGGGAATTTAGGTTCAACATGCTTGTGTAAACTTTCTATTTTTATATTCCAAGATCGCCGTGCTCATACGATCATTGACAAATGAAGAATAAGTTTTTTCCTTGAGATGTAAGCAAATCAAAATTCATAAATGAATGTTTTACTATGTACTAGTATGAAAGATAAAGAATTCTTGATAGTATCATAAATTTAAGTTTTGGATTATGTCAAGATATTCCTTACCTTATATTTCAATGAAAAAAGGATTGTAGCCAGAAACGTAAATGCATAAAAGTTAAGTAAATCCACCTAACTCAACTTGGATAGCCTCAAGTGGTACCTCCAAACCTTATAAATACCTTGCGTAGTTTACAATCCTCAATTGCAATAATAGCATACTTACATCCTCTCATCATAATCTCCATTATATTCTTCTCAATTTGCCGAGGTTATCTTTTGTTATTTTCAGTTTTAGCAATGGCAGATGAGGGGACATCAAGTAAAAGCAAAAGTCGTCAAAAGATCGAGTCAAAAAAGATGGAGAATGAAGCCAGTCTCCAAGTTACCTTCTCAAAACATCGAAGTAGCCTTTTTAAGAAGGCGAGTGAACTTTGCACTCTTTGTAGACCAGATGTTGGCCTTATTATTTTCTCCCCTGGAAATAGGGCCTTCTGCTATGGCAATCCTAATATCGATATTGTGATTGATCGTTTTCTTAGTATTGATGTTCGTCCAGCTCGAGATCCTCACAACGACAATGATACTCAACAAATAATCAGTAGGATCATTGAGGTGTTAGCAACTTATTTGTTATCTTTTTTTTATAATATCTATTTATGATAATCTAAAAATTATCATGACTCACTAATACTTAAATCTATGAAGTTACGTGATATATTTTGAATTTTTTGTTGGACTTTCAAATCTTTAGCCTAACTGCTTAACTAATACTGCAAATACATGAATATGTATATATGATAACAGGCTCAAGACAAGGAGGAGGCAGCAAGGAAGCGAGGTAAAGAGCTCAAACAAAGAAGAAAAGGCTTGATGAAAGAGCTTTGGTATATGCATTCAATGGACAAATTCAACCTGGAAGAGCTTGAAGTTTTGGATGCTGGTATGAAGGCCTTGTGGAATGATGTTGTCGAACTTACAAAGAAGCTAAAGAAGGAACAAGGTAACTCGAGTTCAGCTGAGGGTTCTCCAAGGGATGATGAGATGTTTTACTCAGATCCAGCAATGAAGGGCTTGACTACTTTCCCCATGCCTAGTATGCCCAGCAACCCAACTCATGAATATGCCCCCAGCAGTACTAATTCAACTCCTCCCCTGAGTAGCTTCTGTAACCTAGACTCTGGCAATCCCAACATAATGATGATGGATAACCCGTTGAATGATTCAAGCATGGCGTTAGATCCTGTTGATGACTTGAAGGCCATGCCTAGGGATCTCTTCAATAATTTAGTCATGATTGAGTCAGATGATCCAATTGCATCACTTAATGCAGGAGATAATCCAGACATAATATGTGATGCCTTCGGGAACCAAATTGCAACAATGGATATTAATCTGTCAAATGATCCAAATATTGGGCTTAATGAGCTTTTTAATCCGAGTACTATGCCTCATGCACCAAATGATCCAATTAGCACAACATCTGATGCTCTAAATATGATACGTATTGTGCCAAATGATTCAAATCTAGACTCAGTATTTGATGGCTTCACTCTAGAGATGCTATTTGCGGATCCATTGGATGATGAGAACTTCATTGTGGACAATCCAAATGGAGGCGGCTAACGGTGATAATCCAAAAAAAATGCCGCCTCCTCTTGCAGGGAATGTTCTAGGAAGCGGCCAAGGATTTTAATGACTAAGTTTGTTGATTATCTTGAAATGAATCAAGGGCTAGTTTGAAGAGTTTCAGTATCGTGTCTTTTGTTTTTGTTTGTCTTGTCTTTCAAATAATGATTTGGGAATTTGGGATTTCAATTGGCTTGAGTTTTGTATTTGCTTACTTTCAGGTGGTGTTCTTGTGTGTGCGTGTGTGTGTGTGTTTTTTTTTCTTTATAAATGTTGTCGTTGTTAGTCTTGGATCGAGTTAATAAGTATATGTGTGTTTCATGAGTGTTGTTTATTTTACATTCTTGTTAAGTACAATTCTGCAAATCTTTAAAAATATTTAATCTTTTATAATCACCCTATAAAGTACATTTATATGATAGTTCTGTCTCTTTATATATATGTGTGTATGTATGTGTATTTATATATATGTATATACAGTAGTCACTTATCTCGCATTTATTGTAAACTATATCTCGAGAGATTTAAAAGAGTTTAGAATTTGGTATCAATACACTCGAGTATATGAAAATATTAAAGCTCTTTAAGTACGTAATAAATTTATTATTTTTAGAAAGTTAATTATTACATTATATATAAATATATGTACGTGTATATCTATGACTTTGAAGAAAAAAGGTAAAAGATTATTCCGCGTACTCATTTCGCTTCCCTATTCCATTATATAGAAATATATAAATCTGTTGGTATATATTTAATTTGGTAGCATGCTTAAGATTTTGTATAATTTTAACTTGTATTTAATTTAAATTACAATACAAATACCACATATCTGAATTGGAACAGAGTTATGATTCTAAATCAAATTCAAATTATAGTTTTTAAAAATCTTTAATATGAGTTTGGATTTTGTGATTGTATTAAAAATTCTGAATTCACTGATATAATGTAAAATAATTCAATTGACGTTTAGTCTCAATATCCGAATGTTAAAATGAGAATGCTTTTGTTATTGTTAAAAAATATATAAATAATTTATTATGAAAAATTATATCTATCATTCTCATATATATTAGTTTCAATATAGATATTCAAAAGGACAATATAGTATTCTCATTACAGTTAAATGTAATAAATTATATGATAGATATAATTTATAATGTATATATTTTTAAAAAAAAAATTATAAGCTATCCAAAATGCAATAGATTGAAAGATCGATCATTCTCTTAAATATATTATTTTTAAATTTTAATATTCAAAATAATAAATAATGTGAAAGAGGTTATGAACTATTTAACTCGTCAAGATCTATTATATTTTCAAAAAGAATTATAATAGGTTATTTACGTATATAATATTCAACATACAAAACTTAGTAAATTAAAGATTTATCATTCTCTTAACTATGGCGAAATACTTTTAAATTCTATTATCTGAAAGGAAAATATAGTATACTCATCGCAATTAGGAATAATAAATTACATATGTAATAATATGTTAAAATTTATAAGCCTTTTGCTATTTATATACTAAGCACATAATAAAATTTGAATGACGCGAGAGATTTCATTTAAGTCAATGTTCATTAAAAAAGATAATTCAATCAATTATTTTTAGTCAAATAAAAAGAATATCTTAGAAGCTCTATGTCAAATTATTTAAGAAAGATTCTAAAAACTTCGAGTGCATTTATTTAGACTACTCTAAATTAGTTAAATTATATTCTCTCCATTATTACAAAATCCTAAAGGAGTAAGTAATTAAGACAGTTAATTTAAATGTAGGAATACTTAAAAATTGTAACTGTCAAATTGAGTAGTCTATAAATATACTTCATTCTACTTCATCCTTATTCAATCATTCAAATCATAAATTAATCTTTTAATTCGTGCTAAATTTATCCATGGAGCCTCCTAGGAAGTTAAAGGGCCGCCAAATGGTTGAGATGGTGAAGATCAAGAAGGCGACGAATCTCCAAGTTACCTTTGCCAAACGCCGGGCTAGCATTTTCAAGAAGGCGAGTGAAATTAGCACGCTTTGTGGTGCTGAAATTGCAGTGATTATTTTTTCACCTGCTAAGAAAGTGTTTTTTTTTGTCAGTCCTTCTGTGGAAAAGTTGATCAATCGATTCAGTGGCCTAATAGAACAACCTCTTTCAGCTAACAGATGCATGATGGATGCTCATCGAAATGCTTGTCTCCAAGGGCTCAACTCACAGCTAAACAAGGTATAATCACTACCATGTCTTCATATATCTATACTATTTGATTTTTATAACTAATTCTTGAATTTTTTTTGGACATGATTATATATAATTAAAGCTTAATGCCCAACTGGATGCTAAAAAGAAGTGAAGTGTGGAGCTTAAGAAGGTGATGAAGGAGAATGCAAGTAAAGCCTGGTGGATGGGTTCCATAGATGACATGAACCTTTCACAATTTCAGCAATTTCAACCTGCTCTTGAGGAATTATACGAGAATGTTATAAAAGTCGCCAAAGAAAAAGATGCTGAAGAGGACAATATTAATCCTAATTCTGATGATCAGCTTTTTCTTGGAAGCTCTTCCAATGGAACTGGACTTCCATTTGAATCTATCCCCTTAAATGCTATCGTTGGTCCCAGAAACATGGTTAATCCGAACATGAATAGGGTTAATTCCAACATGGTTAATCCAAACGTGATTAGGCCCAGCATGATTAATCCTAACATGGTTAATCCTGCAGCTTATATGAAGATGCTTCGTGACATGCTCAACAACAATAATCCAAACATTCCCTTGTCCAATTCCATGACTCCCAATAATCCAATCATGGTCTCTAATGTCATGCTTATCAACAGTAACCCTACAAACATGATGCTACCGGCGGCAAATATGATGATCAACAATGATCAAAACATGGTTCCAGCCGATCATATGATGATGAACAATGACTAGAACATGATGGTGGGGGGATCGGATGCGATCAACGATTAAAACTTGATGTATACCAATGGTCTTAACAATGTGAACATGATGCCAGCTACAGGATATAATATGACTCAGAATAATGGTGGAAACAGGTAGGAGTTTTTCTAAATTTGAAGTTTGTGGGAATGTGTTTTGATTAGTAAGGTCACAGAGTGCTCATACAGTTTGACTTTCATATTTAAGTTTTATTATCAATGGAATGTAAAGTGATATATTTTATAAATAAAAGATCTATTTGCTTTCATCTTAACTCTAATTTTACAGTACTATATGCTATGCATGCATTATAAATCTTATATAGACGTGCACTGTTTAATACATATTAGGGCTTAGATTTCACCCCAAAAGAGAGAGAGCGAGAGAGAGAGAGAGAGAGAAATAATAGATACCAAGAATCAAAATGAATTTGTATTTACATATCCAATATGTTCTATTAGATGTTATATGGGGTGGCAGGTTCTTGAAAAATCATCCATGAAATATTAATTATTTACCGATCTGCTGTTAAAACAGATGTATGGTGCGTAATGGCTGTAATAATCCAATGGAAAATAGAATATATAGCTTGTGGAGAAGATATATAGTGGATATATATAGATCAACTTCGAAAGTAAAACACAATTAACTTATTCTTATTTAACAAAAAATTTTAAGAAAGATATGGCAATGAAAGTAAAAATAAATAGTAAATTAAAAATGCATTATGCAAATACGGATTCAAGTGCAAATTATATTAAAATATCTATGCGTACTTAATAAATTTACTATACAACGTGTTATAGTTTATATTAAAAATATGATATTTCAATATATTATAAATAATCGAGTGTTGTTAAAATAATATCTCATATTGAAAAAATTAATTGAAAAATTACAACCATGTTCTATATTTACAAATTTTTTATAAAACATACTGTGCATTTTCATTAGCATAACTACTACTTATGATGGAAATTGGGAGGAACCCCAATCTCTTTGGGGTCTGAGTTTTTTTCCAAAAAAAAAAGCTCTCGAAGACAGATTTCTTCAAGAAAATATTAATTCCAATTGAGAATATTCGATTAAAAACATGACTATCTAAATCCTTCCATTTTGTAGCAAATTTATTGGGAAGAATGACGAGATTAATGAAAAAGCAAACATAAAAATTTAGTTAGATAATCCTAAAATTCTGACTAAAATATCTCTCGTGGAAACACTTTTAAGTCCCTATGGATTCAAATAGAGTATAAATCATTTTGAATCAACGTAGAGAAGATTAATAGAGAAGATGAGCAATCATCAAAAGCGTCAAGAAAGATAACATACTATGAAAGACAACTCACCATAGTGAAGAATTGAGCCAAATCGGAATAGTTTTATATGGAAGCTTCATCAAAACCTTTTATGGCTAAGGTTGAAAAGATGAAAATGGTTATTAAAATAATTAGTAGGTTGGTAATTGTATGATATTCAGTACTTTGGGATTTTCTTATAATTTTAATTTTTTTTTTATATATAACATGTTAAACTTCATGGTGGTTTCGCAATATTCGCTATAATTTAATTACCAAGTTTGTAATTTTTTGTTGACTAACTTATTATTCATGTATGGAGAAACATGAAAAATATTTTCATTATCTTCCCAAATTTGATATATATATATATATATATATATTAGGAAATAGGCTGGTAATTATATAATACTGTGTATTGGGATGTGTAATTCAAATTTTATTCATCCTTGCATAGATGTTGACACTATTTTCATTATCTTGTCAAATTTGATAAGCAAAAAAATGTGGCTGCTAATAACTATTTCTAAGAATATTCATCTCATTTCGTTCTACAAGCAATGATGATTTGGAATGGTAAATTCGTATAACTTAAAGGTAATATTATATCAATTTTCAAGATTTTTTTACTATATATTTCAATGAGGTGATTGTAAAGCATTCCAAATAAATAAGTCTTTAAAGCCGATATATTTACAAAGAAAATTTGTCTAAATCAAATTATATATTGAACAATATAAAATAAAAATGCCCAACTTGGTGACTTAGAACGAGTAAGTCATCAAAACCAAAAAAAAATTATATAAAAAATTCATCTAAATCAAGTTGTGTTGGATGGTGAAAAGTGATAATTTCCAACTTGATGATTCCAAACAAGTAAGTTATTAAAGCTAATAAATTTGAATAGAAAATTCATCTAAATTAAATTATGTATTGGATAGTGAAAAATGATAATGTTAAACTTAGTGACTCCAAATGAGTAAGTAATTAAAGTTAAAAAATTTATAAAAAAAATTTACCTGACTCAAGCAATATGTTGGATAGTGCAAAATAATAAAGTCAATCTGGTAACACCAAATAAGTAAGTAATTAATCTAAGAAATTTTTATAGAAAATTTGTCTAACTCAAACTATAGGTTGAATAGTGTAAAATGATAATGCACAGCTTGATGATTCCAAATGAGTACGTAATTAAAGTTAAAAATTTTCTACAAAAAATCCACCTAACTCAAGCTATATGTTGGATGGTGTATAATGATAATGCTCAATCTTGTGACTCCAAATGAGCAAGTAATTAAAGCTAAGAAATTTATGCAAAAAATCCATTTAAATCAAGTTATATATTAGATAGTGCAAAATTATAATGTCTAACCTAATGACTCTAAATGAGTAAGTAATTAAAGTAAAAAATTTATATAGAAAATCCATCTAAATCAGATTATATGTTTGATGGTGAAAAATGAAGATCCCCAACCTGGTAACTCCCAATGAGGAAGTAATTAAAGCTAAAAAAATTTATATAGAAAATCTCTCTCAATCAAGTTATATATAGAATAGTGCAAAATAATAATGTCCAGCTAATAATTCCCAATAAATAAGTAATTAAATTTTATAAATCAACTTATATATTAGATGGTGCAAAATGATAATACGCAATGTGCTCCAAATGAATAAGTAATTAAAGCTCAGAAATTTATATAGAAAATTAATCTAAATCAAGTTATATATTCGATAGTGCAAAATGATAATGTCTAATCTGTTGACTCTAAATGAATAAGTAATTAAAGCTAATAAATTTATAAATAAAGTTATTTGTTGGATAGTACAAAATGAAATTTTCCAATTTGATGAATCCCAATTTGATGAATCCCAATGAGCTCAATATGATCCTCACACAGGTTTGAGTAGACCATATTTAGATTTTAAAACTTATTATACTTATTTGATCTTCCTTTTGTTCGATTACAACTTATACTGAATTGTACTTATTATTTAAAACATATGAAAATAGGTCATGAATCAACTGGAAATCGAGAAAAATCGCAATGCAGAGCTTAAGGAAATACAAAAAATATGTGAGAGTAAGTGTTGGTGGATGGGTCAAAAACAGGAAATGCGTTTCTCAGAACTTGAGCATTTAAAGACATCTTTTGAGGAATTGAAGAAGAAAGTTACTAACGAAGCTGAGATGATTATAATTCAGAACAAATTAAACATGATGCCTCATGTATTAAACGACCCAAACACAATACCTAATGTGCTCAACGATATTCCCAATATATATATTCA